ACAGAAGTCACTGGAAACACTCAGCAGGTCAGGTAGCATCTATGGAGAGAGGAAACTGAGTTAACGTTTCAGGTTGACGACCTTTCATCAGAACACTTCACACAATACTATTCTGATGAAAGAACATCGACTTGAAATGTTAACTCGCATTCCTCTCTCCATGTAAATGCTGCCTGACCTGCTGAGTGTTCCCAGCGACTTCGGATTTTATCCATCTCTCTGTGGTCGGGTATCAGGTATCAAGGGCTTTAGGTGGCACTGAGAACAATACATTCAGATGCATCGAGACAGCACAAGAAGCAGACATAGATTTTGAGTTATAAAGGGGGAATTTCAGGACAGACACCACAAAGAATAGTAATAATCCTTGCATTTGATATAACAATTATCACATCATTGAGACAATAATAATCCCTCCAAAACCAAAAAATAAATAAATAATAAATTGGTCATTTTCAATCTACGACTGTGTGTGGGACATTGCTGTGCGCGATTGGCTGCCGCGTTCGCCCACAAATATACAGTCAATTCACTTTACAGTGTGTTCTGTGAAGCGCTTTGGGACGTCCTCCCGACGTGAAAAGCGCTATATCAAATGCAAGGATTATTATTATTATTATATTATTATCTCAAAGCACTTCACATAATACTGTAAGTGAATTGCTTGTAGATCTTTATGGCAAAACAGAGCAGGCAATTCAGCCACTTTGTCCCCCTCTGTCTCGCAATCTCTCTGGGTGTGGGTGTGGCTGCGCCAGGGGATGACGTGTGGTGGAACAGCGCTGTGGGCTGAATGGCCTCCTCCTGCTCCTGCTCGCTGCAGCCTGCCACCTCAACTGCATAACCAAAGCTCTCAACATCTTTATAATCACAGGCGCAGAAAGCAATGAGGTAACAAGCTTTAGAATTTTCCTCACATCACATCTTCTTTTCAATGAATAAATAAAAAATTGGACGAGTGCCATTGTTCAGCAGAGCCGAGAGTTTCCGTGGAAGTTACAGCTGGTTCTTACACAATTTTGTGTGTGTGGACACCCCTCTCTCCCTGTCGCATCTAACGTTAATCACACCCAAGGTTACCGCACGCTGAACTATGACTCCACACCTCCAATCGGTGGAAGCATCACTCAGTGGGAAGGGAATGTTTGCCTGAGCTGCGGACAGGAAGATGGTGGCAATGCTCTCATGCATTTCATGCAACGGAATTTCAGAATCAAAGCCCCCCCTCTGTGATGGTCTCTAGTCCGCTCCCTGAGCCAGGGGGGTCCGCAGTATTCCAGGGCACTCACTGCTGATGACAGCACAGCCGAGTCTGGCACATCGGCAGGACCTGGCAGGGCAGACATCCCACTGCTAAGGTGCAACAATATCAAATGTAATGATGATAATTATCATTATTATATGCAAATAACACTGGTGGCAGTTCAGTTAACTTCAGATTGAGAAACTGGGAGATGCGAGAGAAAAAACACAAACTGTCCTAATTTACACCGCTCCACATTTTTGTTGCTTTATTCCGCTGCCTCTTTATTTTTAAGGGATCAGAGTGAGTTACCCCCAAAAAACACCCCTCCCTCCAGCTCAGAGTCGTGTTCTGCCACTGCCAAGCACTCTGGGACCCTACCTTGCGTGAAGGGTTTTGCAAGTTGTTGTGAGCAACAACAACCCGGGGGGTGGGGAATGTAACCGAGAAAGGAAACAATTAGACAAGGAGAATGAACAGGGAAGTTAATTGTATTTAAATGTTCTCCCCTTCCTCTCCAAACCCTAACCCGCTGCCACCCTGTTCGCTCCGTCCGCTCAGCGGGCTCCGGCCTGCTTCACGCCCCCCGCCTTGCTCGCCCCACTATCACCCACCCTTTGGAGCTCCATCCCGCAGTCCCTCCGTCTCGCCCCCTCCCTCGTCACCTTCAAGACCCAACTCAAGACTTCCCTCCTTTCAATCTCCCAGCTTCCCCCCACCCCGCCCTCCCCACTCCCCCATCCCAACCCTCAGCTCGGGTCTGTCCAGGGCCTTGGGACGTCTCCCGAAGCGAAAGGCAATGTCTCACCCAAATGATAGTACCTCCGACATTGTAACGCACCCCCAACACTGCAGTGGAGTGTCAATGTGATTCCATGTCCTGATGTGGGGATTGAACCCACAACCTCCTGATTCAGAGCCCAGTGCTGCCACTGTGCCAGGCTGACACATGATAAATGAGAATGCTCACAACGTACAAAGAATGCTCTCATTTATCATACCTACAATCAGGCAGATGTGACCCGTTTAATGAAACGTGTCCTGGAAGTTTTGGGCTGTGTAAAATAACACACTATTAGCCAAACCTTTTCGGTTCAATTCTTCCCAACCCACGAGGCAGGAGTCGTGGAATTGTGTGTGTGTGTGTGGCGGGGGGGTGGGGGGGTGTTGGGGGCTGGTGCGGGGGGGTGGTGGGGGGGGGAGAGAAAGCTTTCAGTGATTCCAGCAGCATTATAGTCCTCGCTCTCAGAAACCATCAAACAGAAAAGATCCCGGTGCTGGTTTCCTGCACCATTAGCTAATGCTCACACAGCGCTCTGTAACTGTGGGGTGGCTTCCGAGTGCTCACAGGCCACGACATCCACCTCTCAATTACACAACAACAGCAATAATAATAATGAGGTTCCCCCCAACCCCATCACCACCCCACCTTGCTTATTTTATTCTCTCGTGCAGACATGTGACCCCCTTTTCCCTTCTACTGGGGGATTCACTTATAAAAAACAAATGGGTACCTGGAAGGGATTGCAAACTGCAATCCAATCGATAATAAAAATAATCCTTGCATTTGATATAACGCCTTATCACATCGTTGAGACATCTCAAAGCACTTCACAGGATATATGGTGAAGTGGCTGTGCATTTTGTGAACAAACCACGACAGCCAGTTGCGTAAAGCAGTGTTCCACAGACAGCCATAGAGGGAGTGACCAATTTTATTTGGGGGGGGGTTGTTGGCCAGGCCACCGGGAGAGAGAAACCTCCTTCTCTTTTCGAATAGTGCCGTAGGATCTTTAACGTCCACCTGAACAGGCAGAACCTGAGTGGAACCTTGGTTTGACATTTCATCCAAGGGACAGCACCTCTGACCAAAACAACACACTCCCAACACTGCATGGAGTATCAGTTTAGACTACGTAAAAGCAAGATTGCTACCTCTATGCTAAACTGAACGACAACTGCTTATCATACAACAACAACAAATTACATTTCTATTGCATCTTTCACGTCAGGAGGACGTCCCAAGGCGCTGGACAGTCAAGGATCCGCACCCGAGCTGGTGGTTGGGATCAGGAGGGGTGGAGGATGGGGAGGGTGACCGAAGGTACGGTCGAAGAGGAGGATCTTGAGATGGTCTTGAAGGGCAAGGGAGGGGGCAGAGAGGCTGAAGGCCCGCCCGCCAATGGTGGGGCGGGCAAGATGGAGGATGTGAAGTAGGCTGGAGCCCTCTGAGCGGAGACAGCGGACAGATTGGTAGGGGGTTGGGAGGTCACAGAGCAAGACCGTGGAGGGCTTTGAAGGTGACGACCAGGATCTTGGAACTGTGTCCTCTGTGTGATGGGAAGCCAGTGGAGTCGGGCGAGGATGGAGCTGAGAGGGTCACGGAGCCTAGTGCGGAAGAGGTCATGGGTTGCAGAATTCTGGATGATCTGTAGTCTGTGGAGGGAGGCGTTGAGGCCGACAAGCAGGGAGTTTGCGTGGTCGAGCCTGGATGTTATGAATCCGTGGATGAGGGTCTCGGCGGCCTGCAGTGAGTGACAGTGGCGGAGCTGGGCAACGTTGCGGATACGGGCACGCCCAGTCTCACCACAGCATTTTAACCTTCCCACACCCCCGCCCCATCATCGTCGGACGGGCTTTGAGCCAGTCTGCCCTCCGCTCTCTAGGGTCCATCCCAGAGATCTTCTGTCTCTCCCTTCCCCACTCCCCAATCACTACCTCCAAACACCACCGCACTGTGGGTCACCTTTCCCTCCTCAGCTGAGGTTCCGAGTTAGCTGTGCTGCACGTTTGAGATGTGAAAGGCACTGTGTGTATATAAATGTAAATTGTTGATGTGTTCGATCCTCTTACTTCCAATAATAATAAACTTTGCATTTGATACAGCGCCTTATCACGGCTTCGAGACGTCTCAAAGAGGTTTGCAGAATATACTGTAAAGTGAATCGACTGTGTATTCTGTGGGCGAAACCAGGTGTGGTGTGGAGATTGGGTGCGATAAGCAGTTGTGGTCAGCCTGGTGCAGTGGGTAGCGCTCTCACCTCGTGAGTCAGAAGATTGTGAGTTGAAGCCCCAGTAAACCTTTACTGGTTCTCTCCCTGACTCTCCCTCCCCCCCCACACCACCCCAAGTCTCCGAAAAATACCACAATGGTCATCACACACTTTTAACGCCGGTATTAAAAGATGTGACATTTAGTGAATGACACGCACACACACACACCACATGTGTACCCAATGCCCCACTACGCCCCAGCCACACCACCTCCCGTACCCACATGCCCACCCATACCCCCCAAACACACTCTCCTCCCCCAACACACTGGTACCCTGATACCCACAGGACCTTTCTCTCCCTCACTGACCACTGCCACCGACCCCCTTACCCTTAGTGCAGGGTGTAGGGCAGAGAGAGGTACAGGAGGTAGAAGTCCTCAATTTGCTGACAAACGACTGTCATTTCAGGGCAGGAGGTGACCAGTGTGAGAGACACTGACCAGACAGCACATCATATCCCATCACTACATTACATAACACAACACAGCAGAATATAGCCACTGCCTCCATCACACAAATGTACAGTACTTACCCTTCCAAGTAAAAGACACCCAACACCCCCCACACCCCACACACCCCCATACAACCACTGTACTGAAATCCCACCTCAGACCTTCTAGTGTTAGTGGGTTTAAAGCTCCCCCATCACTGCCTGTCATCCACTCACATGGAGATGCTGTGGGAGTGAGATTCTCACTCACCTTCTTCCTCTCTCAGACGATGATGCTCTCTCTCTCTCTCTCTCCTCTCTCTCTCCTCTCTCCTCCTCTCTGTCCTCCTGCAGAGATGTATCTGGTTTGATGTGCTGGGAGGCGTTGCAGTGGCTGGTTCCTACCTACCTGTACATCACTGCCTCTCTCTCTCTCTCTCTCTCTCTCAATGAGGAGCTTTCCTGCAGATCTGCCACAGATCCATTCACATCCACACACACATCCCACCCCCACACACACACATACACACACACAACACACACACACACACACACAAGCCTGGCTTGATGTACAAGACCTGCACTGGAGTCTTTCCCACTTCTGGACCGGATTTCATACCAACGCTCTGCATTGAGAGAGGTCCCCTTCATCCCATCGCCTCTGAGCGACTCTCACCTGTGTCTGTGTCAAAAATTTGACAGGGATAATAGAATAATAATCCTCGCATTTGACCCGGCCAGCGCCCTATCACGTCGTCTCGAAGCTCCTCACAGAGCATAGTCCTTGCGTTTGTTAATCCTTGCATTTGAGATGGCGCTTTTTAACGTCTTCTCGACGTCTCAAAGCGCTTGACAGAATGTACTGTAAAGTGAATTGACTGTATACTTGTGGGCGAAACGCGACAGCCAATTGCGCACAGCAGTGTCCCACAAACAGTCGTGGATGGAGTGACAAATTGTTTTTGTTGGAGTGATTATTACCCCCGGAAAACGATCGACTAATCAACTAACAACCGTGTTCCTCCTTACTGTTAGGGAAACAGAGGCGTGTGGAGTGAAGAAACTTGTTTAAGGTTTCACCCCGACCAAGAAACGATCCAGGCTCTCAAATTTCTGAAGTTTATTAGTATAGCGCCTTTCATGTCAGGAGGATGCTAGACAGTCAGTATTTCAGACCAGAGATGGGGTTCGGGAGAGAGGGTGGAGGGCGGGAGGGGGGGAAAGGAGGCTGATCGAAGGCACGGTCGAAGAGGAGGGTTTTGAGGCGGACCTTGAAAGAGGCAAAGGAGGGGGCGAGGTTTAGGGGACTGTGAAATGGAGTTCCAGAGGGTGGGGGCAGAGTGCCTGAAGGCCCACCCGCCAAGGCGGGGTGGGCGAGGCCGGGGGGACGTGAAGTCCCACATCCCTTTTGCTCCCGACATCCAAGTCCAGGGAGGGAAAAAAAAGTGCATTTTTCCTTATTCAAACAAAAGGTTTGTAAAGACCTACTCCTTAATTAACCCCTTTACAAAGATATAACTACAATCCGCCGCGGCCCTTACCTCCGTCTGCCTGATCATCTCCTTATGTCCTCACACCAACATTGGTTAATTTATCATAATCTTGCATTTTGATACAGCTCCTCATCACACCACCAAAATGTTTCAAAGCACCTTAATCAATGACGACTGTACAGAAACATGGTGTGGGAGGGGGTGTCAGCCCTTTAAGATTTAAAGGTTCACTTGCCGGGCGGCCACTGCAGATTCTACACCAATTAGGTCCTTAAATGGGAACCGACAATGACAAACTGCTTTACACCTGTCAGTCAGGTTAAACCGCCCCACAATTAGGTGCTGAGCAGCTGCAGTCAATAGATGTTGTAGCCTGGTTCAGTGATCGCACTCTTGCCTATGAGTCAGAAGGTTGTGAGTTCAAGTCCCACGTCAGGCACTTGAACTCACATTGTCTAAGATGACTATCCAATGCAGCGCTTCGGATGAGATGTTAAGCCGAGGTCCCATCTGCCTGTCCAGGTGGATATTAAAGATCACATGGCACCTTTCGAAAAGAGAAGGGAGTTCCTCTTTCCTGGTGTCTTGGCCAACAATCCCCCAAATAATATTAGTCACTTGTGTCCTGGTTGTTTGTGCGCAATTGTGCTGCTGCGTTTGCCTACAAATACACAGTCACTTCATTTCACAGTAAATCCTGTGAAGCGCTTTGAGACGTCCTCCTGATGTGATAAAGTGCTATTTCTAATGCAGCTGCAAAAAAAAATGCAATGCAAAAATACGCTCTCACCTCTGACTCACGCGAGAGTGCTAACAGCTGAGTCAGGCTGACACCTCGTTTTATCCGATGGGACATCTAGCGTTTTGCAAGGATTATTATTTTATAATTTTATAATAATTGTCAAATGTAGTGGATATTTTTTGCAGAAATTGGCACACAGCAAAGTCCCATAAGCTTCCATGTGGTTGAATTGCCGATGTAAGTTGGGGGATCGTCAGCCAGGATTCCAGGAGAAACTCCCTTCTCTTTTCCAATAGTGCCGTGAGATCTTTGACATCTACCTGAGCCGGCAGACGGGACTTCAGTTTAAAGTCTCATCCTTAGCTCAAAACATGCAGCAACCCCCATCCTATTAACGTTCAACCCAGACTGAAAGCAAAGTTCCAGCTGTGGCAACGGAGCCAGACTGACACATCACAGAATAAAACCTTTCAGTGCAAATCAGGAGATGATTTTCTGTGGGAGTGTTAATTGCACACCTGTGTGCGTGTGTGAACGCGAGATGGTTTGGTCTGCAGTGGCTGTTATATACAGGGTGTTCGCAACGTCCTGTTCCCACCCCCCACCCGACCCTGTATGGCACCAAACATGGCTACGGATCATCATCTGCCATGAAAATGATGGCACTCCCTCCCTCCCTCCCTCACTCTGCTCCTCTGGACATCTGAATAGTTAAACACTTGTACTGAATACAATCAAGTACTTCAATACAATTATCATCATTCTTCCACATGTTTCAGTTGTTGGGTCAGTGCACTGTAGGCAAAAAAAACATGGAGGTAACGGGAACAAATCACACAGCACTGCGGATCCTGGAAATCTGAAACAAAAACGGAGAGAGAGAGAGAGAGAGGAGAGCTGGGAAAACTCAGCGGGTCAGGCAGCATCTATGGAGAGAGGAAAATGAGTCTGGCGAAGGGTCGTGGACCACGTCGCTGGGCGCAAATTGGCTCCCGCATTTATGCACAGAACACACAGTCACTACGCTTTACAGTGAATCCTGTGAAGCGCTTTAAGACGCCCTCCTGACGTGCGAATGAATCCTGTGAAGCGCTTTAAGACGCCCTCCTGACGCGCGAACCGCTGTATCGAATGTAAGCACTGTTAAGGCCGCTCCACGATGCCTGTTGTTGTGTTGACGCAATGCGCCCTCTGGTGGAGGGGTCTGGCAGTACCGGACCCTTCCCCGGCGCCATTTCCCCACATTCTCTTCACTGTCCGGTTCGCAATCCTCATTTTGTGAGAGTTACGCATGAGATCACTGGGGCTCTGGTCACCCCACACCTCACCTCACTCACACAGGTTTAATAATAATAAATAATAATCCTCACATTCAATACAGCGACCGTAACAAACATCTCAAACAGCTTCACAAGAAATGATAATAATAATAGGATTTGATACAGAGCCTTATCACGTGGGAAAGACATCTCAAAACGCTTCACAGGATACACTCTAAAGTGCAGTAACTGCATTTTGTAGTGAAAAGCGGCAGCCAGCTGCACATAGCAATGTCCCACAAACAGCCATGAAGTGAGTGACCAATTTTATTTGGGGGATTTGTTGGCCGGGAGACCGGGAGAGAGAAACTCCCTTCTCTTTTTGCATAGTCCCACGGGATCTTAAATGTCACCTGAACAGGGAGACAGGACATCTCATCTGAAGGATGGCACCTCCAACAATGCAACGGACCCCCAGCGCTGCATTATACGCAATCACCTTAGACTATTTGATTCCAAGTCCCGATGTGGGAGTTGAACTCACAACCTTCTGACTCAGAGGCAAGAGCGCTACCACTGTGCCAGGATCACCATCGAGTGTAGTGACTGTTTTGTGTTGGTGGACTCCACAGATAGCAAGCTGCAGGGAGGCTGACACTCTGGGGAACCGGGAGCCAGTGAAGGCTGGAGAGTAGCGGGCGCATGTAGCATGGGCACGGGTGGAGCTTGGCGATCGGGGCGACACTCAAAGTAAAGGCAGAGTCCGTGTACCAGAGGGGATGTGCTCAGTGGCACCGCTGAGCCCTGGCAACAACAGCACAAAATTACATTTATAGAGCGCCTTTCACGTCGGGAGGACGTTGGCACATTGTCAGCTGCACAGGTGAGTGCTGGGGAGGTCAATGGCTTCAGAATTTAAGGCTCTCCGAGGCCAGGTAACCCTGAAATTTTCAACACTGAGGTGGGTAGATGTTTGTCAGGTCAGGGTATCAAGGGATATGGAGTAAATGCAGGTAATTGAGGTACAGATCAGCCATGATCCTATAGAGTGGAGGAACAGGTCTGAGAGGCTGAATGGCCTCCTCCTGTTCCTATGTTCCAGGGACAGTTTTGAGTTCGGCAACAAACTGAGCGAGAACGATAAAATCCTAAAACAGAGACACTCATCAGAGAAACACAGCCACTAATCCAACAAGCTTCTCCAGCACCATCAACACTCATGGGGAGTTCAATTTTTTATTTTTATATATATATATTATGTGTCCCTGGATTTGGTTTACAAACTATGGTTCACCCGACTGGAGACTAGTTGGAGTGATCTATCTGTGACGAGGCTGCATCACACACAGAGAGAGAGAGAGAAAAAGAAGAATTTTTATAATTCTTTTTAGGAGGTCAGGCAGCATCTATGGAGAGAGGAAAGTGAGTCAACGTTTCCGTCTGGTGACCTTTTGCAGAGTCCTGTCCTGCTGAGCGTTCCCAGCGATCTCGGTTGTTATTTCAGATTTCCAGCATCCGCAGTGTTTTGTCGTGTGTGTGTTTAATTTGATTTCAAATTTGTACAGCAGTGATTCTATAAGAACCGTCGCACGTGTGGAGTTGAAGTGGGTACACAACCCTCGTGGGTCTCTCCACCCAATCAACAGTCAGACTGGGCTCAGAGCGATTTCCCCTTCCCCACCCCACGCCCCCAGCTCCCCGCACAGTTACACCAGCTGCTCTAGTCTTCACAGTCCGCAGAGGTTATCAGTCAGTTCTCCATTGGTCTGTGCCACACCAAACTCGGCCCAGACCGGCCCAGCCTGGTCTCAGCCCCCAGCCCAGTATACTTAGCTCCTTCCAGGTCTCTGGAGCCTTGAGCCACAGCCCTCATTTCCAAACTCTGTTTAGTTGCATCATTAAAACTAGATGTCTTTCACCACAAAGAGAGAGATAGAGAGAGGGAGAGGGGAGCAAACGAACACAACACAAAGGTCTCCGCAGCCCCTGACCCCAGCCCTCTCCCCCCAATCTCCCCCCACCCTCCAGCCCTCGCTCCCCCTCACAGCCGGATCACACGTTGGTCTCGGGGTCGGACTGGCCGGCCGGAGGGGGTCCCTGCCAGCGAGTGGGGGCTCGGCAGCAGGAGCAGGCCAGGCAGTCGGCCACGTTGTGCGTGAAGAGGGAGCGGCAGGGGTGGCAGTACTGGTAGAAGAGGAGCATGAAGAGCACGGCCAGGCCGTAGCCGAGGAGGAGCTGAGCGGCCATGAGCGAGGGGCATGCGTACTCGTACACGTCCGTCTTGAAGACATACCAGAGGGCGAGGAGCAGGCAGTTCTCAGCCAGACGCAGGGTGTAGTAGACGGCTATGCGGCCCCAGGGCTGACGCTTGTTGATGAGGTCCTGGTCGCTGATGTCCAGCTGCAAGGCCGACCAGCAGAAGACGTTGATGCCGGCGTACAGCACGGTGACCAGGCACAGGACCACCGCGGTGCCGAACCTCTGGTAGTTCTTCTCCACGTTCTCGGGGAAGGGCGAGCGACTGCACCAGAAGCGGAGCCAGGGGAGGGAGAAGAAGGCCAGGAAGTCGGCCGAGAGCACGGCAAAGGTCCACTGCCGCAGCGCAGTGCTGAACAGCACCAGCACCGCCACCCGGGTGGCCATCTCCAGGCTCCGCCACAGCCCCACGCACGCGTAGCCCGCCGGCCGCAGGCGCACCTTGCAGTCGTCGTACTTGATCTGCACGGCCAGGAGCGTACACAGGAGGGCGCCGTACGTGACCGAGAGCAGCGAGGTGACCATCAGGGCGACTGCAACAACAACAACAACAACACACAGAGATTGGTGGTTTGCTCACTGTGCGCAACTGGCCTCCTAGGTTTCGGCCACAAACATATACAGTCACAGTATAGTCTGTGAAGCGCTTTGAGACGTCTAGAAGACTTGATAAGGCGCTGTATAAAATGCAAGGATTATTATATCATTATTATTATGTCACAGTTCAGCGGCTTTGGCCAGTTTCCCTTTTGAAGGAAGGAGTGGGACATCAACAACAACTTGCATTTATATAGCGCCCCTCACACAGGGTAGAGGCAGGGAGACTGGGCGGGGTGGGGAGAGGAAAGGAGGCTCTTACCCCTGGCTGTGGGCATGTATCTCTCCACGATGCTGACGTACAGCTGGAGGATGAGTTGGGGGGTGGAGCCCAGGAAGGCCTGGATGACGGCTGCTCTCTGGAAGGCATCGCGGTGGATGTGGAGTTTCCTGGTGGAGTGGTCCACCTCCTTCTCGTACTCCGTGGCCAGCCCGTGGTGCAGCTTCTTCTTGCGGACAATGCTGACGTACGGCTCCTCTTGCTTCCCGGAGTGGAAAACCACTACAGCGCCTCCACACACCTGCCAGGGAATCAGCCAGAGAAAGAGAGAGGTCATCCCAGAGCCCCTCCGTCTTGCCCCCTCCCTCAAGGTCCGTGTCAAGCCCATCTCCTCACTTTTAAAGCCCTTCACAGCCTCAATCCATGACTGTTTGTGGGACGCTGCTGTGCGCTATTGGCCGCTACGTTTCACCCACAAAATACACAGTCAATTCACTTCAGTGTATTCTGGAAACGCTTTGAGACATCTTGAAGATGTGATAAGGCGCTGTAATAGAATCAGCACAGAAGGAGGCCATTCGGCCTATCGTGCCTGTGCCAGCTCTTTGGAAGAGCTTCCCAACGAGTCCCACAACGATTAGCATTATTAGTATTGATTACTGGTATTGATTGTTATTGATTATGATGATTACAGTGTACGGCGGCTGCTGCTGACCTGACCAGGGGTCCGAGCTGGAGCAGATGAAGGAACAGCACGAGGGACCTGTCGCTGCCCAACTCACGGTGGATGAGGATGAGTGTGAACTGCACCAGCACCGAGGGCACCAACATGAAGCTAATGGTTAACGCCAGCCAGAAGGAGTCTCCCAGACGGCTGTACAGGGCGCACACAAACCCACCAGCGACTACCTCTGCCACAAACAGTGCCGTGGAGATGAGGACACAGGGGTGCAGCTTGGCCCGGTGCAGGATACCGTTCAGAGACGCCTCAGGACCCCCATTCTCCTCCACAGCCAGCTTCTCCATCTCAGCCTCCGCTGTTGGTTCCCTCATCTGCACAACACAAAGCCAATCACCGTCATGTCTCTGCAAAATAATCCTGGCGTTTATAACAACAATAATAATCCTTGCATTTGATATGGAGCCTTATCACGTCTTCGAGACGTCTCAAAGCACTTCACAGGCCAATCAGCCCCCGCATTAAGCTTCACGAGCCAATTGCCCTCATCCTCGTTCGGCTTCTCTGGGCTCCCCATCCCCCCACCGGATCGAGTTCAAGATCCTCGTCCTCACCTTTAACATCTTCCGCGGTCTTGCTCCTCCCTACCTCTGTGATCTACTAAACCTTCACCAACCACTGACATGAAAGGTACTACACAAATGCCATTTATTGCTGTGGCTGATTCACCGCAAAGTGGAGCATTTTGTGGGCAAAGGGAAACTCAATGCCCAATGAAGTTCAGTGCTCTCTCTTTCCTCCTCTCTCGCTCTCTCTTATCTTTGGCGATATAGGAACAGGAGACCTTTCCGCTTGTTGAGTCTCTCTGCCAGTTGCTTAGATCACAGCAGATCTTTTAAATTCGTTTCCCAGGTATCTAAACATCAGTGCAGAGCTCAGGGAGAGCTGTATTGTCGGAAAAAGGTCCATCTGCCTGTTCAGGTGGACGTTAAAAGATCCCACGGCACTGTTCGAAAAGAGAAGGGAGTTTCTCTCTCCTGGTGTCCTGGCCAACAATCCCCCCAAAAAGATTGGCCACTCACTCCGTGGCTGTTTATGGGACACTGCTGTGCGCAAACTGGCTATTGGGTTTCGCCCCCAAAATATTCACAGGCACAACCACTCTACATTGTATCCTGCGAAGCGCTTTGAGACGTCTCAATAACGTGATGAGACTATCTCAAATGCGAGGATTATTATTATAAGTATTATCATTATCTATGCCAATTGATTCTCCAAGACATTGCACCCACAGTCTCACCACTCTTGAGGTAAGGAAACATTTCCTGATCTTACCTCTAACCATCTGAGCTGCGATTTCAAAGTCAGGTTTGGATCCCTGACCCAGGAGATGAGTCACCACTATCCATCTTGTCAACACCTCAGACAGATCATCCCTTAACCACTTCCATTGCAGAACCAGAGTCATGACATTGGATACATTTGCTCCAGCTTTTGGTACACGTCCGCCCGTTCCATTCAAATCATTCCAGCCAGGAGATTTGTCACATTTGTCAGTGTGCAGGGACAGCGTGAGCTGGAAACGCAGGGCTGAGGTAATGTAATGAGCAGCGTGTGAGACATTCACCCAGCATTTTAAATAGAAAGCATTCACTATTCATCACAGCCACCAGGGAGTTATGGTCAGCAGTCTCCTGTCAGCGTTCCTCGTGCAGCATATCACACACGCCTCACTGCAGTGTCAGCAAAGATACTTGGGAAGGGCAGGGTGTGGGGAATTGGGATTAAAAGATCTCCCATGAATCTTGTAGCGTCATAGTTAGAGCACTCGCTTCACAAGCAAGTGGTCCGCTTCTATTCCCGAATGCGGCAAAACCGTCGGCAAGTTTCTTTACTCCACACTCCTCTATTTACCCAGCAGTAAGTAAGTAGGAACCCAGTTGTAAGTCGATTGACGGCTTGCTTTCCGGGTGGGGGGGAGGGGAGTGGGTAGTAAATCTTTCAAAAAGAAATTGGTCACTCCAATCCATGGCTGTTTGCGGGACACTGCTGTGCGCAATTAATTGGTTGCCATGTTTCGCCCACAAAATATACAGTCAATTCACTTTACATTATATTCTGTGAAGCGCTTCGAGACGTCTCAAAGACGCAATGAGGCGCTCTATCAAATGCAAAGATTATTATTATGATCTAATCAAATCTGCTCCTGTATCTCTGTGCCGTGCAGCCTGTAAGGATGCTCTGCAAGGAGAGACGTTAACATTTCTAAATAAAATTACATTAATCACATAGTCTAAGATGACACTTCAATCTAATGCTGGGGTGTGCTGCATTGTCAGAGGTGACATCCTTTGGATGAGATTTTAAACCAAGGTCTTGTCGCCTGTTCAGGTGGACATTAAAGATCCCAAGGTGCTATGCAAAACGAGAAGGGAGTTTCTCTCTCTCCCGGTGTCCTGGCCAACAATCTCCTAAATAAAATTGGTCACTCACTCTGTAGCTGTTTTGGGGGATACTGCTGTGCGCAAATTCGCTGCTGTGTTTTTCCCACAAATAGTCACTACACTTTACAGTACATCTTGTGAAGCGCTTTGAGACATCTCCACAATGTGATAAGGCCCTACACCAAATGCAAGGAGTAATATTGTTATTCCTTTTGCTGTACTTTGAGCTGTCAGTGTGTGTCCAGGCCGAACGTTGCTTACAGAGTTTCCTCACTTATTGCCCAGTCAGAGCTGAGGGAACCGGTGAACATTGCAGATAGTCGCACTTGTGCTATTTTGGGTGTCCAATCTGCTGTTCCATGGTTTACCCAGAAACTCCGACAGATCAGACACCACAGGCTGGCCATGGAGACCAGCATTACCTTTCACTCCAGTTAAATAATAATCCTTGCCTTTTAGATTCCTTAATCAGATCATCGAAACGTCTCAAAGAGTTTCAGTTACGTGGAGTTACTGTGTATTTTGTGGGTGAAACACGGCAGTCAATGGCGCACAGCAGTGCCCCACAGTCTTGGATTCAGTGATCAAAAATCACCATTAAATAGCACGAGTTGCATTTTAGAAAATCGAGACAGTTATTCTCAAGCAGCTTCTAAGTGCTCAGCCACACACTCCCACCCCCTCCCCACCAGGAACAAACATTCTGACGTCCTTTCGGATGAACTCTGTTCCATTCCAGTAAGCGCAAGCTTTCGAAAGAGAAGCGAGTTTCTCTCTCCCGGTGTCCTGACTAACAATCCACCATATAAAAATTGGTCACTCACTCCGCGGCTGTTTATAATAATAATAATCCTTGCATTTGTTATAGCGCTTTTCACGTCGGGAGGACGTCCCAAAGCGCTTCACAGAATATACTGTAAATTGAATTGACTGTATATTTGTGGGCGAACGCGGCAGCCAATTGCGCACAGCAATGTCCCACAAACAGTCGTGGATTGAAAATGACCAATTTATTATTGCTTTGGTTTTGGAGGGATTATTATTAGGCTCTGTGTGGAGTAAGGAAACTTGCCCGAGGTTTCGCCCTCTGCCTGGAATTGAACTCAGGTCTCTCACTTGCAAAGTGAGTGCTCTAACCACTGAGCTACAGGACTCCACATTGCTGTGCGCAACTGGCTGCCCCGTTTTGCCCACAAAATACCCAGCCAATCCACTTTCCAGTATATCATGAGATGTCTCGACAACACGAAAAGGTGCAATATCACACCCAAGTATTATTATTACTGTACGTTTGTGTGATATGCGCACCATGTGATGCATTTGACTGCTGAACTACTGAGCCAACAAGAAAGCCAAATACCCGGGTGAGATATTGTGTACCTGGGGCCAAATTTGCCCCATCTCGAGTCCAGCAACAAACTGAGACAAAACAATAACATCCTAAAATAGAGACACTCATCAGAGAAGCAGGGCCATTAATCCAGCATGCTTCTCCAGTAACTGACAGCATCAGCAATTGTGGCGAGTTCCATTTTTTTGTGTGTGTTTCTCCGGGTTTGGTTTACAGAATATGGTCACCCTACAACAACAACAACAACACTACATTTACAGAGCACCATTCACGTCAGGAGGACGTCCCAAAGCGCTGAACAGTCAGCTGTCTGGCCCGAGCATGGGGGAGGGGTGGTGTAGGAGTGAGGGAAGGCAGAGAGGTGGGAGGGAGACCAAAGGCACGGTCGAAGAGAAGGGTCTTTAGACCGGCGTTGAAGGAGGCGAGGGAGGAAAACGAGGCGAAGGGACCGTGGGATGGAGTTCCAGAGTGTCAGGGCAGAGAGGCTGAAAGCCCGGCCACCAATGGTTGGGTGGGTCGGGCGGGAGACATGGAGCAGGCCGGAGCCTGATGAACGAAGGGGTGTTAATAGTGCAGAACAGGCAACACACCAGAGAAGGCGAACGGTGTCTGGGGTGATGATTGTAATGATAACTCTACTGGATCATTGGAACAGCGTAGGATACCATGGATGGAGAGGTCAGACTGTGACGAGTTACATTTTAGAAAATCGAGACAGCTATCGAGAAATCGAGCAACTCCTACGCTGTTCTATACTCCCATTCACAGTCTGACATCTCCATCCATGGTCTCCTACACTATTCCAATGATCCACAGCGAAAGCTCGAGGAACAGCATCTTATCTATCTGTTAGGGACCCTACAGCCCTTTGGCCTCAATATCGATTTCAGCCACTTCAGACCATAACAGCTCACTCCCCCCCGGCTCACTCACATCCCACTTTTTCTGTTACCATTACAATCATCACCCCAGACACCCTTCGTCTCTCTGCGGTGTTGCCTGTTCTGCACTATTAACACCTCTTCTCTACAGTTTTGTTTCACCCCCAACCTTTTGTTTTATGCCACTATCATCTCTTTAACCCATCAACTAACACATTCTCTCCTTTGTCTTCTTTTTTTGTCTTCTTTGTCTTCCTTGTCCTGCCTCCCCCCCTTCAACTTGTCCTTAGAAACCTCTCCCTCCCAACATGCCCCAGTTATAATAATAATAATAATCCTTGCATTTGATATAGCGCGTTTCACGTCTTCGAGACGTCTCAAAGCGCTTCACAGAATAGATTGTAAAGTGAATTGACTGTATATTTGTGGACGAAATGCAGCAGCCAAATCGCACACAGTGGCGTCCCCACAAACAGTCGTGACCAATTTATTATTGTTTTTTTTCTTGAGAGATTATTATCATGTCTGTGGAGTAAGGAAACTTGGCCAAGCTTTCGCCCTGTCGGGAATCAAACCCAGGTCTCTCGCTTGATAGGCGAGTGCTCTAACCACTGAGCTACAGGACTCCACAAGACTGAGTGTACATTGTGATAACTGCTCTGTTCTGACGAAAGGTCGTGGACCCGAAACGTTGACTC